TTGCTGAGTTTTTTTAGATATTTGTATGTACCACAGGTTTCATTTCTGAACATGTTTCTTGTTTAAGGGGATGAGTTGGTAATAAATGAACATGCTATTTCTTTTATATTCTTCAAGATAAGTGATATAATATGACCACCAAACAGGCAATAGAGGTAGTGGATGTGGATCAGAAGATTAAAATGGTTGAGGAGCTGGAAGATCATGTCATGCGTTGTGTACGTGATCAGAACGGGAATCATGTTATCCAAAAGTGTATTGAATGTGTACCAGAAGATCATATTCAGTTCATTATTTCCACTTTTTTTGGTCAAGTCGTCACACTGTCTGCTCATCCATATGGGTGTCGAGTAATTCAGGTGGAAGGAGAATGGAACCGTTGATTTATCTCTAAATTGATTTAGTGCTTTTGAGATATGTGCTATTATCATTGTGTGAAACTTTTCTGTTTTGCAGAGAGTACTAGAACACTGCAAGGACCCACACACACAGAGTAAAGTGATGGAAGAGATTCTTGCATCTGTTAGCACATTAGCACAAGATCAATATGGTAATTATGTTGTACAGGTATGTATTATTAATATCTACTGCTAATGCTGCTTTTTATTGTAGATTAATTATGTTGATAAGCATGATTTCATAGTGTTGTATGATTCTTGTAGTTTCCATCCCAAAAATAAGTCCCATTTGAATACTTAAATTTGTCCCACAAAAAGAGGCATTCATGATCAGTAAACTAATTTTGATTATATTTAATGTATTTTTCTAGTCTCTCAAAAATATAGCTAAGGCAATAATGAACCTTGGTGAAAGATGACCTTTTTAGGCCCCATTATGGAGTATCATTTTCTCCCAAAACAGTAATTTGTACTCAATTATTGTTCAGTGGGTGAAACATGTGGTTAATTGGTTTCAACTTCCCTTTGTTACATTCACATGTCACTATAAATGCACCGTTTATTTTTTGCTTTCTCGTACTCACTTTGACATATTTTATTTTACCCCACAACCTTGTCAGCATGTACTGGAGCATGGGAAGCCACATGAACGGTCTATCATAATTCAGGAATTAGCTGGGAAGATTGTTCATATGAGCCAACAAAAGTTTGCTTCAAACGTCGTAGAGAAATGTCTTACTTTTGGTGAACCCAATGAAAGACAACTACTGGTGAATGAGATGCTTGGCACAACAGATGAAAATGAGCCCCTTCAGGTTTTGCACTCATTTCCTTTTGCTTCATAACAATTTTATTTTTTTGAAAAAAATCATTTGTTCTATGTTTTCATTTTTCAATTGTTTCTTAGGTGTTGTCCTTTTAATGTTCTTTCGTTTATCATTTTGTAATGCAGGCTATGATGAAAGATCAGTTTGCAAATTATGTTGTACAGAAAGTTCTGGAAACTTGCAGTGATCAAGAGCGGGAATTAATCCTTTCACGAATAAAAGTCCACTTAAATGCGTTGAAGAAGTACACATACGGAAAACATATTGTTACTCGCGTTGAGAAACTCGTTGCTGCTGGGGGTCAGTACTTTCCTATCCACACCATTTCAATCCTCTCCTTTTATTGTCCCCTGTTTGGTTGAAGCTCTAGGACTGGGAGACCTATAGATGCCTTCAAACTGTCATATTCCTCTCCGCCAATATATTTTTTATGGGAAAATAACTTTCAATAATATATTAGCCACAGACAAAACTATTCCCCACTTTAACTCTTGTACTTTTAACACTTCCATTTCAATCTCCCTTTCTATCATTCCCAGCCCCTTGAACCAAATATTAGTATATTGCCTCTAACTATTCTTCCAACTATAATGCAGAAAGGAGAATGTCTGCACAGGTCCCACAATATAAATATATAGAGAAGTATGAATGTACAGCTAACCTGAGGCTAGTTTGAGCGACCCCCTCCCCACCCCCACTTTCTCTTCCATGGGCTGTGAATGTCAATAAAGTTGTTGCTCGTGCTAGAGATCTGTACATTCTGTAGTTTATGTCTATAATATAGAACCAGGTTAAGCTTAAAGGCTGCTTAGAGTGGAGGATGAGTTTTTCTGTAAAAATGACACCCACAAGGGCCACAAGGCAATAGTAGCAGTAGTTATATATATTATTGTTGTGACCGCACAAGAGTGCTTTTAGCTCTTAACTATGTTCTTGTTGATTTATCCAAGGCCGGGTTTTCACTTTTTATGTATGGTTTGTGTGATTAACTTTTGAATGAAATAGATTTATCGACTAATGTCTTTATTGCGGAAATTAAGGTGCATAGAATTCAAACGAGAATATTCATGATTCTAAATTCTAATATTTTATAAATTTGTGAATCAAAACGTCATTTGTAAATTGTAACTCTTTGAAAAAGGATGATGAGACTGGACATGTTTTGGGATTTTTTGTATTGCTAAAATGAATCACGATAAAACTGAATTTACATTTTAAAATTTAAAAAAGAAGACTAAAGCACTAAACGTGTGACTAGTATGCGTATTTTGGAAAATAAAGAGTGTTTAAAGTGAAAAGTGTGAAATGTTCCCTTATTTCGTTATTATGTACCTTTACGTAATTACGTTGAGAAATTGTACTAATAGAATCATCAAATCTGAAATTCAATATACAAAAAGAGAGTTACAATTTACGAATGATGTTTTGTTTATGTAAAATTAGTAAACCATTATTAGTGACTGTCGATATCTTAGATATCACTATCATGTGTTTTGGGAGGGCGATTGCCAATTTGGTCACAATGGTTAGGACTTATCGGATTTGTTACCAGGTTTACTGGTCGACAGTAGGGCTGGACTCAGGCCGGGCGGCCCGAACCGGAACCGGCCCGGCCCGGTTACTGTGTGAACCGGCCCGGCCCGGTGGCCCGGTCCACCGGCGGTTCGGGTCGAACCGGCCCGGTGGATACCGGTTCCGGGCCCGGGCCCTCCATTTGATGAACCGGCCCGGCCGGTTCGGGCCCGGTCCGGGCCGGAATAATTTTTTTTTTTATTTTTTTTTTAATTTTTTTTTAATTTTTGGGTTGGATTAGTTATTTTGGGCCATTTGAGGTGGTTTGGGGTGGTTTGGGGTTGAGGGGGAGGGGTAGAGGGTTAAATAAGAGAAGCCAAAAATTTTTTTAAAAAAAAGGGGCGGGTGAACCGGCCCGGAACCGGCCCGGTCGGGCCCGGAACCGGCCCGGAACCGGTCACCGCCGGTTCGGGCCCGGGCCCTCCTATTGGTGAACCGAGGCCCGGCCGGTTCAAGGCCCGAACCGGGCCCGGCCCGAACCGAGTCCAGCCCTAGTCGACAGTTTTGGAGACCATGACTGTTTTAGGATTAGGTGGTACCGCCGTACCGGTTTAGTTTCAATGAACCAATTAGTATCTAGTCCAGTGGTAGGTAATACCTATGTTGCACGGATACGCGGATACGGGTACACGGTACGGTGATACAACAACTTCAAAAATTATAGGATACGAGTATTTGGAGGTATATTTATAAATAATAATAATATATGATATAATTTGCAAATAAATATAATTCAGAGGTTCATAAATAAAATAATAACAGTACCAAAAATTAGCAGTTATAATAAAATTTCAAAGATTAGCCTAAAAAGACTAAAGTACTAACATTTCGATTTAAATTCAAAAAATATTATTGGTTCTCTATTTGCATTTAAATCTAAGTCTTTTAACAAGACTGGTTTCAATTAATGTTCCACATCTTGTAGTCGCTCGGGCGGCTACTAAATTTTCGTCATGTCATGTATGAAATCAGGGTTATAGGGTTAGATACGGGTATCGACTCATGGATACGGATATCGAAAGTATTCATATTTTTAAAAATAAGTCCAATACTTTTATTAAATTACAGATACGGATCCAATACGTACATGACACGTATCGGTGAGTAACGGTATCGGATACACGGATACGGCATCAGGGTGAAATATCGGTGCACCATATTATAACACCAATGGTCTGTTTTTGTTTTTCCCCCATAAAAATTATAATAATTATTATAATTGTAATGATTTTCATCATTTAAGCACTATTGTATGCTTAGTTGCTTACAAGATTTATATAAGGGAAAGTTTCCGAAATAGGACTAAAATAGTTTGAAAATTCCAAAATAAGACGCATGTTTTTTATTCCTAAAATATGACTAATTACTGCCAAATTTGGAAAATAAAGCCATGTTTGAAGTCTGGTACTGCCAAAACATGACAATAATTAGTCCTATTTTGGGAATAAAAACATGACGGTCCTATTTTAGAATTTTCAAACCTTTTTTGCCCTATTTCAGGTAATATTCTCTTATAATTATAATTATATTGATAATAGACCAAAGATGAAAGATGTGTTATTTCAAGCATTAAATTACAATTGTACTAGGAAAGTAAATACATTTTTATACTCCCTTTGTTCTCTAATAATCGTCTGGTACTGCCAAAACATGACAGTAATTAGTCTTACTTTGGGAATAAAAACATGACGGTCCTATTTTAGAATTTTCAAACCTTTTTTAGCCCTATTTCGGGTAATATTCTCTTATAATTATAATTATATTGATAATAGACCAAAGATGAAAGATGTGTTATTTTAAGCATTAAATTACAATTGTACGAGGAAAGTAAATACGTTTTTATACTCCCTTTGTTCTCTAATAATCATCTCGTATTCCTTTTTTGGGATGTTTTAAATATTTGCCTCTCTTTCCCTTTTTCGTAATTTTTTCAATTAAAATACATTTATAGCCTCACTTTTATTACCCTTGCCCCTTTTACTTTTTACATACTACGTCTCTTTTATATTTTATAATTACTTTACTATTTTCAATATATTCTCTTTCCTACGTTTTCTTTTACCCTACACTCTCTATATTACTCTTATTATTTTCTTCTTAAAAACCACAATTAACCTAAGAGGACTATTCCTAAAGAACGGAGGGAATATAAAACATAAGATATTGCAAGTTTACAATATACAATAAGTAAAGGTATTCATTATAGGCATTATAATAGAATTGTACCAATTAAGTAAAGATATCCTTTATGTCGAAGTTAAAGATATCACAAAATTAAAACTTTACATGGGTACAATGTTAGGCTTAAAGCCATACTGAATTTGACAACTTGCACAACACTATTTTAAAATTTACCCAACACTTGCTCATTTTTTGACTCTAAAGTGGTGTGTGCTTCGCAAGGAAATGCCCTCGTAGTGCAAAATGAATTTTTCTTTCCCAAACACATAATGTGCAAGCAATGAAGAAGTCATGTGTACACAAAGTTATTTAGAAGGTTCCATGAATAATGATGAATAATAAGTTGGAATGAGAAGAAAGTTTTGCTCTGGTGGATTGAGGTACATGACAACCTAATTTTAACTTAAATCTTTGATGGTATGTCTTTACGTTTTTCCCATTCAACTAACCCATTCACTTTTCAACCCAGCCTAACCCAGATATTTGGGATCCACCTCTGGAACCATGGCAACCCCTAACAGCCAAGGACTAGCGTTGAAGAGAAAGTTAGGACTTTTTTTTATCACTTTTAATGAACTCTGAAAGTGGTTTTAATGTAGTGAAAAGCTGAGAGTAATGTTTTAGTTCATCCAAGTTTACCTTAACCATCAAGGATGACTAAGGTCTAAGTATATCTGAAGTTAGAATTGGTAAATAATTGCAAATAAAGTGCCTGTGAATTACCAGTGAAATGGTAAATAATAATGAGACAGTGCTTCACAACAATAGCACGTGAAAAGATTTCAAATTTTATGTGTCAATCCTCTTCATCATCTTCTTGAACAATTCTTTGGCCAAAACCTCTAGGTCCGGCTTTAGCTCTATTTGCAATCTTTCCCTTTCTCTTACTTTTCTTCTTGGAAGCCTCTTCTTTTTCGAACTTGTCACTCTCCCTCTTCCGTAAGAAATCTGTTACAGCTAAATAGATTACCTGCAAGCAAAAACAACACCAGACCCGGACATGAATATCATGAATTTGACCTTAAAAGTAAGCCAAAGTGGGTTATCTGGAAATGTAATTCACATAAAAAAAATAACTTTTTTTGAGCTTAAATGATAATTCATTTCAACCAAAACATTCAAATAAATGCAGGACAAGGACTAAGATATCCTTTATTGATTAGATATCCTTTATTTGCTGCAGCCGTGATATAGAAATCCTAGATATAGGTATACGAAGTAGTTTTTTATTATTATCTTTAATTTGTTCATTTTGCCTATCGATATCCATAAATCCCATAATGCATCGATATTTCTAACATTTCAATCAAAAGCAATATGATCACCCTTGGTTTTAGTTCAAACTCATGAGCCAACAAGATCAATGTTTTACTTTTCTAATGTAATTACGCTTAAAAGTAAATATACTCATTTACTAAGTAAAATAAGAGGTTTTCTTTAATTAACTTAAATCACATTTATGCACACAAATATTACTACACGGTGACTTTCAACACTATTACAGTCACTACAACATATTCAATATGCAATAAGGAGTAATATTTTTGTGCAACTTTTACTTTGGTAATATATAGTCATTACACAATTATATTCAATATGCATTAAGGAGTCAACATTCATTTGTTTTCCTTATTTTATCTCTGTTTTATAGTTTTCTTCTATTGTATCCCACTATTCAATACTTACACAATGATTCTGTTAACATTGAAAAAACGGGTAGAACATCTCATGAAAAGGAGGGGGTATTTTAAATCATAAATGGTGAAAGTTAACCCCGTCAAAAGGCAAGGAGATTTACTTTGGGGCTGAGAACGAATGAAAATGTCACCCTAATCCCCACAAGTCCACAACTACTTTCTAGCCAGAACGGTTTATTGAAAAATAGAGCGTTTCTTGTCTTACTTTAATGCAGTTTTGAACAATAAGTAACAAAATTGGAATCAAACGCGAGAAATGGGTTCAGTTCAAATACGAGTATGTATTTACCCCAACAGTGAGAACGGATAAGCCAATGAAAGCAGCGAAAAGCAGAGCCGAAATGACGGACGAGACCCTATCACCGGCTGTAGAAGCTAATTCCTGGGAGTTCTGGACAGATTCTGCTCCAGAGGTCAAGACAGGGATAGAAGAGACAATCCGCCCTCCATGCCGGCGAAAATGCGAATCCCTATTAACGAAGGGATGAGATAGTGAAGGAGCAGGGATGATGAGCGAAAGATGGGAGTTGTATGATATGAATAGTCGGTGCTGGTTAAGTGGCCGTGGCGCCGGCGAGAGAAATAGAGAGAGACATGAAACGGCAGTAGCCATGTCTCATCTCGGCTGCTCCATTCTGCTCCACAATTCCCAAATCCAAAATGGGATAACGATGCTCTGGACGAGAAACGATAACGTTTGGAAGGCTGAATTTAGGGTCTGTTTGGATGGACACTCCACACAGATTTGGAGGGAAAGTTTTGCAAAATACTTCCCTTGTCCCATTTTAGTTAGTCAAATTTGACTTTTGAAGGCAATAATGTCTAACTTTGACTGATTATATACTTTTATATAGAAGTATTGACGATATGAAAAGTGAAAATGTGGTGGTAGATTTCTAAATATTTCGTCAATGTGAAAATGTGCAACATATACATGATATAGTGCATCACATCTGCTTAAAAGGTGGATGGTTCTCACGTTCTCACGTTAAGCATGATTCTCATTTGAACATATATATATACATACATACGGAGTGTATATATAATATATATATATATATATAGTGCGGTTCTAGTGAGAATGATGCTTAACGTGAGAACGTGAGAACACTCACATTTAAATCATTGTGATGCACAATGGAGCTTTTCTGTTGCACATTTTGAAGTTGCTCGAATTGAGCCTATATTAAATAAACACGGTGGCATTTTGGTAAATATTTTGAAAACGCGAAAAAGTGCAATACACAAGCTTCATTGTGCACCACATTGAGGTAAATGCGGTGTTCTCACGTTCTCACGTTAAGCAATGTTCTCATTTGATCTTTATTATATGTGTGTGTGTGTAAAATTATTAAATTTCGCGTGAGTGTACCAATGCTTTTAATATGGTGAGCGGATGGATAGGGAGGATGACACCACGACGACTAGGGCTGGCAACACCAACGGACTAGATGCGAGAAGGGGATTCCGATCATCGTCGAGGAATGGTCATGACTGGGTATGACGACGCTCGTGTGCAGATTGGAAGGAATCGTCTGCCCTTGATTGGGGATCTTTGCAGTCGCGAGTCAGCGCAACAAAGGAAGATGAAGATGGACTACTGCGTCATCAGTGAATTATTTTCTAGTTGACCGTTAACATCGCAATTCATTCAAGATCACGCAGGGTTTTTCACTACTAAAAATACGTTATTTACCTATATATCCTTTGCTACAAATTTTACTTCAAAATCCACAGGTAAATAGGTTTGATGTGAATTATGTATCATAGGTAATATGCTCGTGGATAATACATTGTTGCAAATTTTAAATCCACAACTAGTTTGCTACAGATATTTTCATGGAAAATGATAAAAATATGCAAGCAATTTGTGTAGGTTGATAGCTGAGCTGAAGTGAGTAAATTGGGAGGAATTTTCTGCGATTTTTTAGACAATAATAGTTAAGTTGTTGGAATTATTCGCAGAAAATTGTATATGTATCATTTGCAACTAAAACTGCAGGTGCTTTATTGCAGTTACAACTACAACTACTTCTTCAGGTAAACATGTACATATTGGATGCATAGTTAAATATGTAGTAGAATACATTATTGAAATTATTAAAAAAAAACTGCAAGTTGTATATATAAAAAACTTCGCAATTTTCAAAATTTTATTTAATTGACTTACAGATTAAATTTTAAGCTGAAATTTGGTAGACATACTTTACACTTCATGAAATTTTAATCATGCTCACAAAATTTCATCAAAAAAACAACTTTGAAGCACCTCAAATGAAAGAGGCCTAAAATTGTAACTTATAGGTCTACCTTACGTGGACATTTTCACGTACACACATATATATTAGCACAATTGCATAGATATTTTAGGAGCCTTTAAGTTCATTATATTATTCACATTGCTCCTAATATTAAATAATTTCAAACAAACCATCAAAATAAATACACTACTCAAGAGGTGGGACATTTTGCAAGAGATGGGATATCTTGATTGTAAACCAGCTAAATCTGCCATAGTTGCAGGCACACGGCTTGTTCAAACTACTGATAATGTGCTAAATGATGTTGGTGCCTACAGAAGGTTAGTTGGTCGTTTGTTGTATCTAAGTGCTACTCGACCTGACATTGCCTTTGCAGTTCAGCGACTAAGTCAGTTCGTGGACAAGCCTTCGTCTTTACACTTGATGGCAGCTCAAAGGGTGTTAAGATTTCTTAAGGGAGCACCTGGTAAAGGACTTCACTTCCCTGCCAAATATAACTACAATACTCAAGCTTTTGCAGATTCTGATTGGGGTGGTTGCTTGGAGACTAGAATATCTATCACAGGATACTGCGTGTTCTTGGACAAAGCCTTAATATCTTGGAAATCCAATAAACAGACTACAATTGCTCGTTCTTCGTCGAAAGCTGAGTATAGAGCATTAGTTGTTGTGACATGTGAGATTCAATGGCTTAAATATCTCTTCCAGGATCTTGGAATACACGAAACAAAAGCAGCACTGGTATTTTGTGATAACCAATCAGCCATCGCTGAATATCCCGTTTTTTCATGAAAGAACAAAACACATCGAGATAGATTGTCACATTATACGGGAAAAGGTGCAAAAAGGAGTGATCAAATTACTATATGTTCCTTCAGCACATCAAGTGGCAGATGGATTTACAAAATCTTTATCAACACCTCAATTCCTATTATTTCAGTCTAAGCTGGGATTCCGAGACATCTACACTCCAGCTTATGGGGGGTATTAAGCAATAAAAACGACGAGCTGTCAATAGAAGAATAGTAGTAGTTTCTAGATATATTCTACTTACTATAAATAGACAAAGCATTGTAAATTGCAGTTAGTAGAGTTTTTCCCCAAATGAAGGTAGTTTTAGATCTTATTTCCCAAATGAGGGTACTTTTAAACTTATTTCCCAAATGAGGGTAGTTTTTTCCTTGTCATCCAATTTTGTCAGGTCACATATTCTAGGTCATCCACCAACCATTCCATGTCATCAACCATCCCAGGCCATGTCATCTCGGTGTACTAATAATAAATATAAAAAAAATTTGAACTCACCAGGAATTGAACCTGGGACCTCCTTGTAATGCCTTAGGCTAGTACTACTAGATTGCATTCAGCAATTTGTTATCTCCCTCGTTTACCATTATAGTATCACATCCTTTCATGTATCAGAAATTAAGTAATTAACATATTCTTTTTTAAAGGAAATTTTATCATATGGTTTGAAATTAATGTTCTTTTTTTAATGTAATTTTAATTAATAAATGATTAATTTCATAGGTGCATTAAAAAAATTCAGTTAAAAGTTATAGCAAAAATATAATTTGATACTAGTATATGCTATTCAAGAATAATTTAAAATAATTATACACTATATAAAATAATAAATAAATAAATGTCATTCTAGGTCCTAATCCACTTGGGACTTAAAGAAACATATGTTATGAATATCAAAATCATGTATTTTAGTGTTGGGATATTTTATTTTTTGTACATGAAATTCAGTGCAAACAAATCATATATTTTTATATATTTTACATTAATAATATAAGATTTTTATTAAATTTGTGGTGAGATAGAGCCTATCATGACATTTATTTGTTTCATGTTTTATTTAGTGTTAAGTTATTTTAATTTTTTTTATTTGCATATATCAAATTACGATTGTATTATAATTTTTTATTGGGTTTTACTTGTTAATTTCATATCTATAAATAAATACTTTATCATATTTTCTCACTATTTTAAAAAGGAGTAATGTATGTTTAAAGCTAAGAAGTTGGAACACTATTGCATTTAAATATAAATTCTGGCTATGTTAAATAACTGTAGAGGAAGATTTGTGCCAACTATTAGAGATAGCTTACTGGTCCTCGCGTGAAGAGCAATTCAAGCAGGATGGGGGTTCGATCCCTTGCAGATTTATTTTTTTTATATTTATTAGCACACCCAAATAAGATACTCCGTAACATAAATGGTTGTCAACATAAATGGTTGATGACATGGAATGACTAGTGGATGACCTAGAATAGGTGACTTGGCAAAATCGGATGACATGGCAAAACTACCTTCATTTGGGAAATAAGTTTAAAAGTTACCCTTGTTTGGTAAATAAGATTTCAAACTACCCCTATTTGGGAAAAAACTCCAGTTAGTAAGATTGATTTTACATAACAATCAATAAAACAAACTTTATCTCCTGTAACGAACTTCTTCTTCTCGCTTTCTTCATACCTTGGTTGGACAAAACTTCTTCGTTGGGAGCTGAATTGATTGGGAATTTGGATTAGGGAGGGCTCAGTTGGCTTTAGAGATTTGAGTGGAAAGACATTGAGGTGGAAGCTAAAGCGGTCCGTGCTATTACCGAGATTTTGAAGAGTTTTAGTTGTTCTTTGGTGGGATTATTGGGTGAAGACATAAGAGATTTGTGAAAGCATTTTTTGAGCATTTCATTTAGTCATGTTAGGCGATCAATGAACAAGACGACACATGTATTAGCTAGGATCGCTTGTTCTTTGTCTGATCCACGTTCTTGGTTTACTGTTCCTCCTTTCATTTTTTCTGTTCTCGACAATGATTTAATTAATGATAATTAAGTTTTTCCCTTTCAAACACACACACATAGATTTACGGATCGGTAGATAACCGGACCGGGTTAGTGGCCGATTCACCGGGGCCAACCCGATCCAGTCCGGTTTATTGATACGCTCAAGTAAAAGTAACGGGATAAGGGTCGCTTTGGTCCTCGAAGTTGCAAAAATGGGGTCAAATAAGTCCTTATATAGAAATTTCTGTCCGGACGTGCCATTTGAGGTGGCTCCCGGTAGAATTTTTTGATTAAATTTTTTGAGCATCGTATTCATTAAGTCTAGTTTACTCATACCGAATTTCAGATAAAAATTTAATCGGGAAGACATTCAAATGAATTCTTGAAGATAACTGTGTCGATAAAAGCGCAATTATCTTCAAGAATTCATTTGAATGTCTTCCCGATTGAATTTTTAGCTGAAATTTGATATGAGTAAACTAGACTTAATGGATAAGATGCTCAAAAAATTTCATCAAAAAATTCTACTGGGAGCCACCTCAAATGGCACGTCCGGACATAATCTTCTATATAAAGACTTATTTGACCTCTTTTTTGCAAATTGGAGGACCAGACCAAACTGACCATTTACTCTAAAAGTAACTGGTTGGAGATTATTCTAGAAAACATGTGAGCGAGGCTGGCAGCTGGCTCATTTGGAATCAGAAATGGCAGTCACGCCTTTTCCACTTTTCCTTTTAATTCATTTATTTATTTATTTATTTATTTTCACCATTTACTCCCAATATTCCATGGATATTGGAAATACCTTTCCATCCGATCGTTCTGCTAAAAATCCCTTTCCGGCAAATGAGGGAATCAGATTTCCCTGGGATTAAATGTTAAATCATGCATAAGACAACAAAATAATCAGAATTTATATGTCAGTAAATCTATGCCTATATGCTGCGATGGGCGAAGAAGCGAAAAGTGCTCACTATGATACCGACTATGGCTGCGACGGCGATGGAAATGAGGATAGGGTTACGGAGTGGGAAGAAGGCCTTCCGAGCGCCGATGATCTTACTCCTCTGTCACAGGTGTTGATCCCACCGGAGTTGGCATCGGCGTTTAGTATTCCTCAGTCTCACACCCTCACTTCTCCGAAAATTTTCAATTTCAATCCGTTAAACGAAGAGAGGAGGAACAGAGATCGGATCGTTGTTGACGATGATACAGATCCGAGCCGAGAGGAATCCGAGCCAAGGAAGACACGGAGGATAGAGTTTTTCGGAGGAGCGGAGGAGGCCGACTCGCCAGATCGGAACGAGAATTGCGGCGACGAATCGTCGGGAAGGACAGTGAAGCGGCCGAGGCTGGTGTGGACGCCGCAACTGCACAAGCGATTCGTGGACGTGGTGGCGCATCTCGGGATTAAAAACGCGGTTCCGAAGACGATTATGCAGCTGATGAACGTGGAGGGGCTGACGCGGGAGAACGTCGCGAGTCATTTGCAGAAGTACAGGCTGTATCTGAAGAGGATGCAAGGATTATCGAACGAGGGGCCTTCCTCTTCCGATCATCTGTTTGCTTCCACGCCTGTGCCTCAGAGCTTACACGAATCCGGTCGCAGCAGCTACGGGATGCCGCCAGTCCCCATACAGTTTCCGCCGCCGCCGCAAATAGTGCCGATGATTGCCATGGCTGCAGCGGTTCATGGACAGGGGCACAACAGTCATTACGGAAATGTAAACGGTGGAATGTCTAATAGCTTTCACCCTCAGTATAATCTGATGCCCCAGAGGGATTGGCTAGGGAACAGATATGGCACATATCACAGTATTACTCCTGCTGATGAGTGAAAACCAGAAAGGATAGAGATAAGGTTCCTTCGTCCTATGATATACCAATTAAAGTACATACTGAAAATGCCAAATTGGACATTACTTTTTCTGGGGTGATTGGAATATGATTTTTTAAGAACGTTTCAGTGCGTTCTAAGCAAAAGATGTATATGAATAACAAATCAACTTATGCATTGGTGCTTCAAGGATAGTCTGTGGCAATTAGTAAGGGGAGTGATTTCTCAGCCCGTGTTCTTATAATCTTTAACTGAAATTCCCCAGTGATGAATATGGTCGAGAGGTTTCAGTTATATGTGTAGGTGAAAATTAGAGAAAGATTTTGAAACTGGTGAACTTATCTAAAATTTTCTTCAAGTGAGGGAGAGATAATTTATCATTTTTTGAATCCTTCCATAACACTCTCCCTACACTGATCATTCTCGTTGTTCATTGTATTTGACAGAAGATTTTAGGAAGAATAAGTTTGAGATCATATTTTGAGAAGATTTCTCGTGGTTGGGGGTGTACTCATTCATTGAGCTGCCAATTCGAAATAGCCATACCTTAATTTTAACTTTCATCCTTTTGTTGTGGTTTGAAAAGGGCAAATTGGTCATTATATTTGTGGGGGTGATTAGAATATGATTCCCTGGATCATTGCTCTTGAATATGTTGAATTTTACACTATTTATGTGTTCTACTTTGAGTACATTTTATGGTATTATTTTATGAAAATTATTTTTAAAAAAAGATATTGTTCAATTCATCTCATTACAAATTTTCAAAATCCGATTTTTAATTATTTTTAACTAATAGAGATTAAGATATAATTACAGTCAAAGATGTGCGTTGGAAAGTGTGAAATGTTGACCGTTGCAACTAAAAAAGAACGGGGAAGTATTTATTACCGACCCTATTTTGTAAAAAATAAAATGGTGCCATTAGAATTTTCCAGGTCCCAAGCGCAAAAAAATCATTTTATTTCATCCCCTAACAAACTTGAACAATTCGATAAGTTGACATAGCAACACGCCTTCCCTGTGCTAGCGTGGCTGCATGGTATTAATAAATGTGTACATCTTTTTTATACACCATTCACACTTAATCTGAAAAAGTTTTCTATATACACCATCTGGAAATACATTAATTGTCTATATACAGACCTATATAAAGACATAAAGTGTGCGAATATTATACAAAAAAATGACATTTTCTTGTTTTGTGTATATTCGTATGCAACCCTATCTTGTAATATATTATTACAAGTCTATTTGGAAATAGACCTTTCAATTTCATGGTAAAATATGAAATATAACATCGGAAATACATGTACTGTTCTGAGTCACCTATACGGACATATTAGCTGTTGTGCTTGAAGAGCTGAAGTACAAAGTAACCTAAACGGACATATTAGCTGTTGTGCGTGAAGAGCTGAAGTACATAGTAAGACGGTAAGACCTCAGCCTGAGAAGTAATAAGGAGAAAAATTACAGGTTACTTGACCTTTCAACTACAACACACATCTAGTAAAAACAAATCGCATATAAAACTCTTAGAGAAGTTTGCTGAAATAGAGAGAAGGAAAAAATATACTACGTATTTCAAGAATCACATAAATATTTGAGGCCTAAGCCCTATCCCAACTAATGAAAACACAAAGGAGACAAATTGGTGCAAAACATATAAGGGGAGCCCGCTGCAATGACCAAAGAGGTTGATTGAACATGAATTGAAGCAACATGAAGGGCTCGAGTATTACATTCTGGCAAAGTTGCAGTATGCTTGGAAGGACAAAAACAAGCCATTCTCCACTTGCAATATTATTGCCCCTCCATAAACTGTCATCCTCAAAACCTCTCACCAAACCTAAAAAATACCGAACCGGTTCCAGAATTATGATCAACAGCGTACTCGGCACGTACCAGACCAAGCTTAACTCCAACACCATAAGAGGAACCGTGGCCAACCCGCCTGTAAACCTCCGTGGGATTCCCTTTAAGATCCTTTGAACTCCCAAGATCATTTCCATGTTCAGCAAATGCATAAACGTGGGTGCCTCTCACAGGGATCCGGAGCTCAGCCGCAACCTGAATGAGTAATAATAACATTTACAATCCAAAAGATTGAGGGTTCAGCAATTAGATACCCCAAAGATAATTATATTAATCGATTTAGGACCCAATGGATTGGAACATCAGCCTATGACTAAAAATCATGAATTTCGTGTTTTTTCTGATATTAGTAATTCATATTAATTTTCTATAAGAATTATTCCCCAGTTATTAACTAATCAGTAATGAGTTACATAATTAAACAATTACTCCGTATTAGTCTTGAATTGATAGTTTCAAACATTTGGGTCCCCTAATAAATTGATGTGACCTCCTCATATTACACTTTGTTTTATGGTTTACTACGATGTTTGACCGATGATAATGTTAATTATATCCAAATAACACATAAACTAGTATTGGTAATCACAATTAACATTTTTTGAAGCTATAAAGCTGAATCACAAAAATTGAATATGATAAAGTTTCGTACATAAGTTTCAAAATTAAACCAATGTTAAGTTAACTGTAGAGAAGTATGTATGAAGTTTATTTTGTGACAGTAGTTCCCATCATAAAATCATGAATAGATGATGGTCCGGTCATATATTCAAAAAACTGCTTTGCAAATTGCAATATAGAACATGTGGCTTCTTCCAAGTAAAGAAGTAAATTTCCAGTAAAATATAATCACCTCAAGTATATTTCTTGCTGCGCCAATCTCTCCCATATTGTAACCCCTTACTGAATATGGTCCCCCAAGTGTGAAAGCATCATAGCTTGCAAGATCTCCAACACAACCCCCATAGTGTCCATGAAGGACTAAAACGGGTGGTGGAGGCTTGCCAACACCTTCACTCACTTTCTTCAACTGAATAAATCTGGTGAGAGTCAACTGGTGTCGGTTGAAGACTGGATTTTTGGTTCCAATTCCAAATCCTTGATCAACCTGGTTTTTTTTAATGCAAATCGTTATGAAATATTTCAAGTGCAAATAATACTCAAGTTCTCATTTCATCCTTGGAATCCAATTATAAACACGGGGAGGTAAAAAAATTGGAAATGATAAAAATAAAAGGAAAATGATCTTGTTAGAAATGACCAGTTTATTGTTCACTTAGCCAGTGTTTGGTTGGAGGACTATGGGAGAGAAGTGATTTTTATGTTATTAATTACTTTTTACATGTAGATGGTTGGGAAAATGAAAATGAAAGGCTAAATACAAATACATTATTTAACTGAAAATAGCTATGTTTTAGTTTAAGAATGATAAAATAGTAAAACCAAACTCAATCCTCTCACTCGAAAATCCCCCAACCAAGCATTTACTTAGAATCAGAATGAATGGCAAAGAGTTTTCAAGAAAAATGTAAGGTCAGTTCGCTCTCAAGTATCAAGAAACAAAATGGACAGAACAGACACTTGTAGCACATTTTAAAAAGCAACATGGCCAAAAAGGACTGATTGCCCATTAATGGAAAAATCGGCTACCATATATTCAAAATACAAAAGAAGGATCATTAAAAATACTTTACAGTATTCAGCACAGAAATCAACATTGTTTCATGCTTGAGTAGAAGTGTGGTTGTGGGTTGTCAATACAGTTTAATGGTAATTCAGATTTACAGCTAAAACTAAACAAAAAATATCAGACATAAATCACCTGGAAAACATTCCTCTCACCGACAATTGCTCCATTTATGAACTTGGTGTTATCTCTAGTGATGTTTCCCTGAAAGAATGCCACCCTATCAATGCCAGTTTCACTGAGTGTTGTTGGAGGTCCATCAGCACTAATTCCTCCACTTGGCAAGACCCTCTGACCACGAGCAGAAATATGGCTGCTTTCATCTCGAGTTGTAATTTCTTCCATCACAATTCCATAAGTGAACTTGCTCTGTCGTGTGAAATTCTGCTAAAAAATGATGGTTAATAATAATACTGAAAATATATGGGTTGAACAGAAAATAAACATCGAATGGGAAACAAAGGAAAATCTCTTCATTTAAATTTTCTCTGGGTTACTGATAAAACTACATATCCCAGGGAATCATTTCAAGTACCTCCGTAATGTTGGCTTTAACTCCAGCTCGATCCACCCATATAGGAGGGACTTCATCCACCCCTGGCCCACCTGTGAAGACTGGACTCAGTTTTCTGCTGTTGAAGCAGCTTGTACGGAATGTACGATTACGAGGATTAGATACACCATCTAAATATGGGTGGACGTACTCAAGCTTAAATGCAAGATCATCCTGCAAGTAATATTGGTGAAAAAACAAGTCTAATGCAAATATGCTGCATCTTTTCCCATTTAAAAAGACCAATAATTATGAACATTGAAGAAAATTACCTGAGGGTTGAGGAAATTGCTGGTAGTTACAGAACCTAGTAGTGACCTATTCAGCCCTTTAAGATTCCGATGCTCAAAGGAAACAGTTCCACCAGGTTGAATTGAAGCCTAATAAAAAGCAATAACCATAGAAAGAGCATGTATTAAATCAAGTAGCACTACGTCTCCATTTGTTTCCGACAAATTCACAAAATATTGGTTTTCCCGCATATCACAAATGAAAATTTTACATCTTTATTGTGTTTGGCACCCAAAAAAATTCCAGGCTTTTGGACATTGTGGAAAATGACTTCCAGTTTGAAAACCCAAACTCTCATTTTTGCAAACCAAAAGATATTTTCCTAAGATGGTTATAAAATATTCTCAATGATTTTTTTTCATGGAAACAGTCAAACATTGGAGCCTGAATAGAGAATTAAATCATTCAATCAGAACTCTTATTCCATACCAGTGTAGGGCGACCTCCACGTCCAGGCACAATACTCCATTCTGTACTGACTTCTGCAGATTTTTGTTCCAATTCCTTCAACTTAATTTCAACAATAATTCCACCCTCATTCTTTTCATCAGGCCGTGGGTTCACTTCAATGTTGGAGAAGAGAGATAGTGAATTAATGTTCCTTAAGGCTTGTTTTCCGACTTCAATGTTGAAAACTTGTCCTTTGCGAAGCTGAAAATGTAATCAATACTCAGTAATGAATTACAAATATAAACTAATCTATATGTGAATGGCTATGAAACCCACTGGATTCTATACAAAATACAGAAACCTGATAAACAATTCAACATATGTTTTCAGTTTTATCTTACTACCAATTCCACATAGTATATGTTTTGTTGTATTCACTACTTGGTTGAATCTAGAACATCAAATAAGTGCATTAAAATAGCAATAGTCTATTTTAGAGTACAAAGAAAAGCATGGCTTTCATAGTTAATATGAGGTAGTAGATTATTACATTTGTTCTACAACCGTAGCAACAACAAAAAAGAATATTTCATTAACGTAAAACTTATAAAATTTTAAAAAGTGCAAGTGTAAAACTACTTAAAATCATCTATTCCAGCTATATTTTTATTTCATTTGTTGATTCACTTAAATTTAATATACTAAACTTGCTTGAGGCACTAATTTTTGTTTGGGGGTACAATAAACATAAATGATATTTTTATCATAACTTTTGGGAGCACAACTGCACAAGTTACTCTGAAACAATATTAGATAGGAACAAAATGGCAGAGAAG